CCGCTTCTCCCTTCTCTGACAGAGAGTCCTCTCCAGAAGACCCCGAGTCCAGCTCACCACTGGACTTACTGTCCTCTTTATCGCCTTTCTCTTGCTCACCCATCTGGATTTTCAAAAAGTCCCGTGCTTTGGAAACAGAGTTTATCTTTTCCTTTTTATCTTGAAGTTTGAAGGTTACGCCCTCTGGATACAGCCACCGATAGCTGATTGCGTTTGTTTGAAGAAAAAGGATTAAATCTTTGCATTTCCTTCTCCTTTGTCTTATTTCAAATGGGATGTCTTTAAGGATCCTGATGGTGCTGTCCCCGATTTTCAAGGTTGTCCCCGTCATCGCTCTCAGGATAGTATCCCTCACATGTCTCTTTGAGAATCTCATTACTATTTCCCCAGGCAGATTATTCTTTTTTATATATACGGAATATGACCTATAGGCCACATCCATTTTGCTCATCAAGTACTCTGCTGTCAAATCTGTCACCGGGGCTAATGGTTCACTCAGCATTTGCTTTAGATTCTCTCCTTTAGATTCTGGGACACCCTGGAATCGGAGAACCAAGTTTGCCTTGGTTGTTCTTCTGTGGAGACTTGCTTCTTTTCCAATTTTTGTACCTTTTTCTTCACCTTTTGAGTAGTGGCGTTAACTTCTTTCACCTTCTCAGCTGTTTGCTCTGTAATTTTAAGGGTCTCATTCACTTGTGCTTGCTGGGTGGTGATACATTTAGTCATTGTAGACAACTGTTCCTTGACGTTAGTCCTCTGTTCCAGCAGGGGGCGCAGAGATTCTGCCAACATTTTAGCCAACTCGGTGGTTCCTTCCGGTTTTGGACTCTCCCCTTTCGCTTTTAAAAGTTTCTCCTTCTCCGTCCTCTTCCCCGCCATCCTTTATCGATTATTTACTTTCGCTGCAGTTTCTAAAGTCTCTGAATGTGCGCTCAAACGCTTATACATGCCTTGGCAAGTTTTTCTCAACAGATTTCAATGCTTTCGCTTCTGCTCCCCCCTTTTTTTCGCTTAAATGTTCATGCGCATGGGAGGGGACCCTCCCCCCGCTCGTTTCACTTCTCGGTCTGTGGGGTGGGGAGCTTTCTTTTTAAATTGTCAAAGATGCTTTATTCTGACTCACGTTCATATTGGTCTTCTGACCTCTCTTAGTCTCTAATTCAGCCGCTCGATCCCCAGCGCTTGTCCTGGTCAGTGTCACTAGGTTCCATACAGACACTCGCAGGAGGGACCATCGGGGCGGAGAGGCGCCTCAATTCCCCAGCATCACGCTGGCGAAGAGGCAACCCCTCAAAAGCCCCATGGCTAGCAGCCCTTCGCCGGGCCTCTTGGGGGGCAACAAGCCTGCGTACCCCCTCCTTCCCATTCATGCGCAGCTCACATCCTCGGGCGGTCCAGGAGATGCGACTGCTCAGCATGCCGCCATCCACTGGAAGCTCTCGAATGTCCCATTTTGTTGACTGTACCTCTGTTTCTCAACTTCCTTTAAAAAAGTACAGTGAATGAGTACGCCATTTTAAGGTCATCAAGCTGCTGTTATTTTCTAATCTGACCTGCTGTTGTGTTGGCTTGGCTATCTCCCTTGAGCCACTGAAGGTCATTAAGTCTGTTCTGAAGTATACCTGTTAAGAGTCTGGTGGTACCTAAAAGACAAAGAAATTTATTGTTGCACAAGCTTTTATGTATTTGCTTATTTATGCTATTTATAATTTCCCTTTCTCATGGAGGCCCAAAGAGGAGTACATAATGGATCAATAGGGTGAGACAATTAATAATGGGGTGAGGCAATTAATAAACAATTTAATAGGACTGGGATTGCAGAAATCTGAAACATAGTGCAAGTACTGAACATGACATGCTAAATGATACAGAAAATGGCATTACAGAAGTAGAAATACAGTGTACTGAGAACAAGGTAATATCTAATACATACTATACACAGTATTTATTTTTGTTTATTTATCTACATAATTTGTATCCCACCTTTCTGCCCTCACAAGGGCTACCAAGGCAGGCAACAATTTTAAAATGCATGATAAAATCACATTTTAAACCACAACCCCCCACACACATGTAATTAAAAAAAATAATAAAACAGGGTCAAAACGTGTGTGTGTGAAGTGCAGTCAAGTTGCCGCCAGCTTATGGTGATACCACAGGGTTTTCAAGGCAAGTGGTTAAGCAGAGGTGGTTTGCCATTGCTGTCTTCTGCAAAGTCTTCCATGGTGGTCTCCCATCCAAGTACCAACCCTGCTTAGCTTCCGAGTTCTGATGAGACTGGGATACACTGTACTACTCCACATCACCAAAATACATTCATAACATCAAAAGCAGTCGTTTAAACATTGGTTAGGAAGGAGGGATCACTGGGAGAATGCTGAACAAAAAAGGTCTTCACCCACTGGCAGAAGATCGCAATAGAAGGGGACACTCAATTCACACACACACACACACACACACACGCCAGTTAGGTGTAATACTTCATATATTGGGTGCAGGGGTGTGTGTATACACCCAAACACACACACAAGGATACTGAAAAAGAAAAAAAATAGGTGGAGAGTTATTGCAAAGAGAGACCAAACTCCCAGTATTCCAAGGCAGAGGTGAGCAATGTTATGTTGTAGATGAAAAGATCCAGTCAACAGAGTAAATGATCCAGTCAGTGGGAGTGGCTCACTCCATCCTACAAAAAGTGAGATGGATAATATACATCAGTTTCCAAAGAGGAAGCTAGCCACTGCCAGTCCTTATTGAGTCCCGGTGTGATAAGTGTATATTGTCTTTATACTGTCACATTTGGACGTTATCTACTTTTATGATGTGTTGTGTAGGTCGGTGTTGGCATTTGGTAGATGGCTGGATACTTGTGCATTATGGAACACGAAAATTGAAATATCATATACGTATTTTAAATATAAAAAAATGAGAGATACAGCATTAGGAGCTGTGTCCCAATAAGTTTAACCTCAGTCCCACTAAGGGCCGGACTAGACATGACGGGGGAGGGTATCCAGTGTATTCATTCATTCATGTGTGGCCATTCACAGAAAATGCAGGGAGGATCTTTTTTTAAAGAGAGAGAGAAAGACTCAGTGTGTCTTGTTGGATGTTTTCTCCCACCCCCACTCATGCCCAGCCCTGATTTGGACAAGAAAAGTCCCTAAACTGGTTCCAGCTGGCATCAAGAAAGATACATCACTGAGAACAGCAAGCTCAACACATGTCATGAGTCTTTTCATATGCTGATCCATTGCAGCAGCTTACTCAGCTCTTTCCAATGGAGCTGTTTATTCCCTCAGTGGTCACTGTCTGTACATGAACTGAACTGGAACTTGAGCATTGTAACGAGTGGACTGTTCTGAACAAAGTCATAAGAATATCTGCACTATAAAACACAGTGTATGTTTGTGTTTACATTTCATTTTAATTTATACCATCTTAAATGTATACTTCAAAAGAATGGACATCAAGTCGGTCTCTGTTTTCACTGGTCCTGCAAATTATGTAGTAAAGCAATCTTTGGAAAAAAAAATCTCTGAGAATTTGAACAAGGTGTTATTGATAATAATCCAGGTACATATTAAAAACAGCAGAGCAAAATACCAAGCAAGTATGGTGACAATCATTTACATGGTAGATAAATAAATGCTGATGCTCCACCATCATTAGGGTTAAGAACATAAGAACATAAGATCCAATGTTGGATCAGGCCAAAGGCCCATCCAGTCCAACACTCTGTATCACACAGTGGCCAGAAATACCAGTGCCATCAGGAGGTCCACCAGTGGGGCCAGGACATTAGAAGCCCTCCCACTGTTGTCCCCCCCAAGCACCAAGATGTCAGAGCATCACTTGCCCCAGAGTCCCTATCTATACCTTGTGGCTAATAGCCACTGATGGACCTCTGCTCCATATGCTTATCTAATTCCCTTTTGAAGCCGTCCATGCTTGTAGCCGCCACCACTTCCTGTGGCAGTGAATTCCAAGTGTTAATCACTCTTTGGGTGAAGAAGTACTTCCTTTTATCCGTTCTAACCCAACCACTCAGCAATTTCATGGAGTGCCCACAAGTTGTCAGCTATGGGTTGGGAAATATCTGGAGATTTTGGGGACTGAATCTGGGGGCGGGGTTTGGGAGGGAGGGACCTCAGCGGGGTACAATGTCATAGAGTTCACCTCTAAAGCAGCCATTTTCTCCATGTGAACTGATCTCTGTCACCTGGAGATCAGTTGAAATCCCAGGAGATCTCCAGCCCAGATGGATGACTAGCTTATTAAATGAAGAGGCCTGGCCAAGACTTACCTCAGCCGGCACTGAGGTGCAGAAGATGGGGGACATTGGATAGAGGCAGGCCCAGCTGCGTTGTGCCTTTTGGTGGGGTGGGGGCAGGTCAGTTCTTTACAGCCCACCTCGTCAGGCCAGGAGGTGCAGCAGGGGGGCAGGGGGAGGGCCCGCGGGGGCTCAACATGTGAGGAAAAGGTAGATATAATTTCCAGATAACAGTTTCAAACATATTTCGCTGAGGTTAGAAAAAATGAGACTGGTTTCTCATGAAATATTGTTTTGATCAACACATAACTGTGTTTCTTTAGCTGAACTATGAAAAGCATAACATTAGCAATATTTTAAAAGAAACTTCTACTTTCACTTGCAAGACAGTAATTCTGTCTATTTACCTGCTAGACTTCCATAATGCCCTAATATATCCATTTATGAATAGTTCTCAAGACACATGATTTCCCATCAAATTGACTTGTTGTGGACAAATACTTCTATTATCAGCAAAAGGATCACTGATGTATTTTCAGAACACAGGGCTGTTTAGCTCATGAACTGGAATTTTGCCATTCAGGGTTGTTGCTGTTTTAAGTCACAAACAATTTGATCTTAGAACAACCATACCAGATCACTAGTTCCTAATACAATGTAAGAGCAACACACTGTCTCCCATCCTTTCTTATCTGAAATGTAACATCCTCTCTTTCTTTCAATCTAGATCCTTGAAGAGAACATGAAATTGGAATGCAAGTGCCATGGTGTGTCAGGATCATGTACTACTAAAACCTGCTGGACAACTCTACCTAAATTCAGGGAGCTGGGCTACATCCTTAAAGACAAATACAATGAAGCTGTTCAGGTTGAACCAGTAAGGGCAAGTCGTAATAAGCGTCCAACTTTCTTAAAGATAAAGAAGCCACTCTCCTACCGTAAGCCCATGGATACAGATCTAGTGTATATAGAGAAATCGCCTAACTACTGTGAAGAGGACCCTGTTACTGGTAGTGTGGGAACGCAAGGCAGAATGTGCAACAAAACAGCCCAGCAGACCAATGGCTGTGATTTGATGTGCTGTGGACGAGGTTATAATACTCACCAGTATTCAAGAGTGTGGCAGTGCAACTGTAAATTTCATTGGTGCTGTTATGTTAAATGTAATACATGCAGTGAACGAACAGAAGTGTACACCTGTAAATGAAAGTGTGGCTTGGGAGAGGGAATCTATAGCCCTGGAATAAACACATTTTTTTTTTGCACATAAGCTCAGTGTACCTATACAAGACTGTAGCAAAGACCTATGCTGATTCCAAAAGAAAAGCTAGCAAGTGGATCCTATTTTTCCCTCTGACATGTCAGCGCTTTATGGATACTCTTCAAAAACATAGAGAAATAAGCCAAAATCAACAGCAACTTTCTAAAAAGGAAGCCGAAACAAACAAGATACCTGATCCAAAAAAATAAGCAGGAAAAAGAAGCCGGTTTCAAATGATTGGCGCCTTCAAAATATAATTTATTGACTGCCTTAAAGGGAAAAAAAATACCTGTTGAGACCTTGGCAATGTGCCCCCTGGGACTGGATGAGAGAGATCTTGAAATACACAAGCCACCGTGCAGAAAGGGAGGGCCAGAGGAACAAAACTTTGCTTTAACATGGTCTTTGCACAGGATGGGGTGACAATGCGCCAGTGTGAATGTCGACTTAAGAGTGTGGATTATGCAGATTTAGGGATTTCTACACTTGAGAAAAGCTTCTGCTGGTTGTTTCTGGCTTTCCATTTTTTTCAGACAATGTGCTACAGCAAGTAGAATTGTTGATGTTTTCCATGTAGACACTGGTTTATCTGCCTTTTGTCGTGCTGCAGATTTTAGCACAGGGATTTGGGACATCTGGGCATAATAATAATAGCAATATTTAACAATTTATCCAGATAAAACTAATATTAATTTATTTAATTATAAAAAGAACTCTGCCAACATTTTGGGAACCATTCTGCAATTTAAGTAGATAGCCTGCTTTTTGTGGAATAATTTTGTAGATATGGCAAGGGAACAAAAAAAAAAGAAACCCCTTGAGCTGTATATATTATTCTTTACTCAGATATTTCTACTAGTTTGATTGCAGAATATTTTTTCTGCAGTAATAGATATTAAGTACAAAAGCAGGCATCTTTTATAATTTTTTTGGCTGTTTGCTGCTAGTTGTCTGGAATCTCAAACCGATAGTCACTTTCATGTAGTTACCAGTACCTAACCTTTTTCCAGTTTAAAAAACAAAGGAGTATTACAAACATCCAGTTGGAACAATACATCTCATATAAATGCAAAAGTCCAGACAAGTTTCCATCATTGGAAAATGAACCATAGGATAAGAGAGTATATTTTGTAAGAGACTATTTTTATATGAATATTTTATTTATACTATGTCTGCTTGTATAATTCTATAACCTGTACTTTTTCTCAAAACAGGCACACAATTTGTAATTCTTAGGCTATTTAACAGATAACGGCTGATTACTTTGTTGACATGAAAGTAGCACTCGGGACTCATTCACTCACCACTGGTGAATGTTCAAAATACAGAATGATTTTTTTCTTTCCGGATGTATGTACAAAGTGGCTCTTTACTGCAGTTCAATTTGCAGAATGTGCAGAACAAGAACAGGGTATGTAGCATCGGTTTTGTCACATGGCTTGAATTCATGGTTGGTATTAACTGGATGCTCCTTTATCCCATTCAGAAAAAAAATTCTGAATTAGCTTCCCAGATGCATCAGTCATTAAACTCTGGCGTTATGACTAGCAAATGTGCTGTGTGTGCTGTCAGTTAAACCTCTATATTGTGCTACTGTCAAATTTGATTTTATCAGTGGAAGACTGTAGACTATGACTGTAAAAACTAGCATGACACGCATAGTCTGATTCTCATAGATAAGACACGCAGCTTACGGGTTTTGTCCAACTGGTTTTTGGCATTTGTCTTACTCTTTGCCTCCCCAAAAGTTCTTAGCTAAAAAGGTCAAGTTGCATTTAGACTAGCTTTCAATTATCCATTTCCCCCCCTACCTCATTTTGTGCCAATTGGTTTCTATGCTTTGGCATTTCCTTTTTTATCCCTAAGATTTTCTCCTGAAATTATGTTCAATTAAATAGTTTGCTTCTTTGGCATTATTTTGATCATCCTGCCAGGATCATTAAGGATTTGATCTCCACTAGCATTGCTGCCTATCTGGTAACCTGATACTTAGCCAAAATCAATGGGCTAAGTTCCTTCACCAAAACTTTGCACAAATTTCACCTGCACCGAGTGAACCTGTTCTACCTGCATGAACTGTTTCTCACAGCTATATGAATGCAGTACAAGTGCTCCTGCAAGGCCTTTTGCATTGAAAAACAAGAGCATTTTTTATCTTTGGGGATACAGTCCTCTGGATTGTGGGCAATGGCTGGGACCCACAGCACTCAATTGATGCACATTCAGTGGGCACATGGAGGGGTTGCTGATTTCCCCCTCTGATTGGAATTTCACATGCCACACAAAATGTTGTTCTGGAAGGCCATCGGCTTTGAAGTTGGATCTAAAGGCATGTCTGACCTCAGCCAAAGTTTAATGCTGGGTATAAGCTTCCGTGTGCATGCACACTTTTTCAAATACACACTTCTTCAGATAAGTATGCATGCACACTTATCTGAAGAAACTGACTCAAATTTAGTTCTGTTTAAGATTTAGTTATTGAAAATACAGAGGCTTGCATCCACCAGAGTGTTTCCATAGATGGAGCAGCATTTGATGCTTTGGTGTAAAGGCATATGTGAGAAAGTCAAACTTCATGGGCAGAAATTGTTCCATCTATAGAAATGCTCCAGAGGATCTATGCAAGGATCTGGAAGTTAGTCCCATATTATATAGTACGCATTGGAGATCTATGATTGGTCTTACAGTGGACTCCCCCCCCCTTAAAGTTTGGTGTAGTGGTTAGGAGCATGAACTCTAATCTGGGGGAACTGGGTTTGATTCCCCAGCCCTCCACATGCAGCTGCTGTTGTGACCTTGGGTCAGTCATACGTTCTTTCAGAGCTGTTCCCTCAACAGCAGTCCTCAGACAGAGCTCTTTCAGCCCCACCTACCTCATAGGGTGTCTGTTGTGGGGAGGGGAAGGGAAAGGAGATTATAAGATGCTCTGAGACTCCTTCGGGGTAGTGAAGGGCAGGGTATAAATCCAACCTCCTCCTCTTCATCTAAAGAGCATCTACAGAGAGAACAGATCACATTGGGGGACATAGTACTGGGAAAGGCATTAAAATGTTAAAAACTCTTGTTTCTTGATCCCCACTTTAGGCTGCTTTTCTTTAAAAAATTAAACGTCATTTATAACTCACCATTCTCTCTAGTGGGGATCAAAAGCAGCTTCACTGTTTTCTTCTGAGGGTGTGTGACTGGCCCAAGGTCACTGAGCAAACTTTCATGGCACAGTATGTACTTGCACCTTGGTCTCCCAGATACTAGTACTATACTGTAACCTCTACACTATGCTGATTAGCTCCAGTAGGTTGACAGGCACTATGTAGTGATGCCCTGATTGGCAACCCGGAAGGATTCAGGATTTGCAGACAGGCTCTGGCCTTGCACCAACATGTGACATCACTTCCAGCACCCCCCCCCCCGAGAAACGATGGAATAATGTCAGAGGTGATGCTCTGGGATTCACTAGATCTCTATGGTTTAACCATAGAGTTTTGGGAAAATTGTTTACAGCAACACCTCTGGTGTCATGACATCACTTCTCATTTTCAGCAGAAGTTAAGTAGCTGGCATATCCCAACCCCCCCGTGCTCACCTTTGAGGCTACACTGGGCAATGGCGGGATTGCTGGGAGATTTCCCGCCATAGTGGGAGACCTGGCATCCATAGCACCATGTCTTTGCCTGTCTTCTTTCACTACTTAGGCTAATTGCAGCCCCCCCCCAAAATGTGGGCTAGTTTTGATCAAGAAAAGAACCAAGTTTAAGATTAAACCTGCTCTTGCCCAGTGCCACAGTTCAGTCCTGAGTTCTCACTGTGTTTGCTTTATAGGGCCAAAAACCTATTGGAAGATCCATCTGGAAGAAATAGTTAATTTCTTCCCTTATTCAGTAATGTGCCCCTTATCCAGATTGTACCCCAGGTAAAAACACAGGAGATCCAACTACAGCTATCCAGTGTAAAATGAACTCTAGTGTATAGATATTAATTGTCATGACCTCACTCAAGGATTTGGGAAGGAGAGCAGAATTTTTTAATTATTGCATTACATATTTCAGCATTTCACATATAAGAACTATGTGATGCTTATTCCCTAATCTATTAAAATAAATGACATTGACTTCTAAGAAAATGCGTTTAGGGTTAGAGTCACAGTGGACAAGCTGTAAAGTTATTGTGTCTTATAAGGCGTATGACAGAAATGCATACATATCGACAGGGCTTTTTTTGTAGAAAAATCCCAGCAGGAAGTCATTATCATAATAGGCCACACCCAACAGCAGAAACTCATTAGCATATTAGGCCACACCCTGACACTGCAGCTCATTAGCATATTAGGCCACACCCCATGCCTTCCCTTGCTGCGGGGTGCCCGGGTAAGCCCCCCTTGAAGGGAAGGGATGGCAGTTTAAACTGCCTTCCGTTGGCTTGCCCGGGTGCCCCGCGACTGTGGGGAGCCAGGCAAGCCAGCCCTTGGACAGGCCAGGAAAGGCATGGAGAGGCATTTAAATGCCTCCCTGATCCTTCCAGGCTTCCCCCTGGCCCGCTTGCCTCCGAGTCACGGGGGGGGGGTGTCGCTCTCCAGGCCTTCCCTCTGTAGCCACGCATGCACAGAGGTTTTGGCTGTAGACATGGCCAACTCGAAAGCCAGCTGGTACTCCGTTCCTGTGCGTTCCTGCCCAAAAATAGCCCTGCATATCTTGTACCTACTCCTCCTCTTTGGTACGTCTAAGCAATGCAAACATAATTTATATGGGAAAGAACACAAACACGTTCACAAGACACGTGGTTTTGCTCATTACCAAATTCACAATTGTTTGTGCACAATCCATTATAATGACTACATACATGATATCAGCAATGGAAAAAAAGAAAACATGAATGTGGGAAAACAAGCTTTATGGTGTCATATATGGTGTTTCCCTGATGCGGTTGAAAATTGCTTGAATCGCATGGGCTGATACATAAACAAGCAACATATCACTTAGGACCTGCATGGTTTGACTTCTTGATGACAGTTATACTACACAAGTTAACTATGAATTGGGCTTTGCTATGATATTAAGGGGTGAAGACACACACTGGAGGTTTCAACTGTGTAGGGGTTGGGGAAAGAAAGTGGTGGAGGGCCGTGGGCAGGGGTGACAATGGTCCTAGACAGGTAAGACTTCTGAAATTTTAAGAACTCTTGAGGAAGACTAGAGCTCCCCAAGTGCAGGTTTTCTTATTATACTGTTGTAGTGGCAGGAAAAACTTTTAAAGGGCAGAAGGCAACATGGTCATCATCATTGGGGGGGGGGGGACAGGAAAGCTAATGCAGAAATTCCACAGATGCAGCCTTCTCATTACAGAGATGCAAGTC